CCCGGTTCCGCCGGCCCACACAGCCCTCGGCTCCCCGGGCCCGCACAGCGCCCGGCTCCCCGGGCGGCCGAGAGCGATTACAGCCGTACCGAGCCGTGCGTTTGCAAATAGCGCTTGTAAAAATGCATGGAGGATGCTGTTCCACAAAGATGGGTGCGGGTGGCAGAGATCACGATATCTAGATGGACAAAGTTCATTTTTGGCTCCAGGTTCACCACCAGAAGAACGAAATGTGCACTTTATACCAGAGTAGAATGTGGCACAATAATTAGGCCACTAAGTCCAAGCTTCGTACGCTTAAATTTGATTTACTTACATTTTCACTGAGATGAGTCGTAGCAAGAAACTTCGTGCCTCCGTGGGGCTGCTTGGGACTCTGTTGCCACCACGTTGTCACTACCGAGCTCCTGCTTTCTCCCACCTCCTACATACAGCTCAAACTCCAGTTCCCTAGCTCTTCATAAAGCTTTTTCAGCAGCTTAATATTAGGTCCAACTCGCCCATGTGGAAAAACCTTCAAATGTCAACAGTCACAGATATTATGGAAAAAGCAGTTGGGCAGTGGCAGCAGTGGCAAAAGTCCTGCTTCATTAAGGGTGAGTGTTAAGCTCCTTCCAGCCAGTGAAATTTCTCATGATTCAAAACAAAAAGGAAATATTTCCACAGGGCTGGAGAGCATTAAGCTTTACTAAAATATTAGGAAATTACATAAAAATGTACTGCCTCATCGAAGGCCCAAGTTATTATATGAGAGCAACAGAGTAAAGAGCAAAGTAGAGGCTATATTACTGTCTACTATTTCTTTATGTTTATTTATTGTCCTAAGCACTTCATTGATGGAAAACTGAAGTTCCCAGTAACACAGTTACTGAAATAAAAGCAAATGCTTATAGGTTCACTACTCTCAACAACAGTCTCCTGTCCTATTCGTGCTGGTGATGCTGTTGGAGTGAGCAGTCAGGCCCTGGCCTGATCTTCAAATTGATTTGTCTTGCTATATTTTCAAACTGTATTTTCTTCAGACATTTATTTGAGGGAGGATTTCTGGACCTAATGCATTTTGTCTACCATATATCCTTCAATATATTCATAGTTTAAGAGGACTGAAGTTAGAAAACTGTTTTGTTGTATCACTTCTTTGCAATGATGTAATTCCTCTGAATCATCTCAGGGTACATTCATTTTCAGAATTTATTTAAATATTTCATTATATCTTGACCACCATACTCATGTTGCACACTGAGAGCTTTCTCCTTGCTACACATACCCTGTGTGGTTTTTAGGAGTTGTTTTCCTTCCATGGCCTGCTTAAGCCCTCTGCTGGGCACTCACTTTTCCATTCAGATACTCACCAGGCTGAAATACCAGCTCAGGCAAATCTGTGACCTTCGACATTTCTTACATCTTGTCTTTCTGTCCATAGAGACCAAAAGCCATTTTTGCCCATCCTGTGGGGCAAGTGGTTCCTGCCCAGGAGGATTCCTGCAGCATCTCTGCACCTCCAGGCTGCTTTAGCTGCAGCTCTTGAGCCATGTCCTTGTGCCTTCCCTAGCTGCTGCTAGAGGCGTGAGGACTTACCAGTGAATTCCCCATGGAGCAGAAGATAGATCTGTAAGCTCATCAAGCTGCTGATAACAGTCTAAGTTGTTAGTCTTTGTCTGTTAACAGTTTTTATATGCCTAGGTCCTCAAAGGTCTCTGCACTATCAGGTAATGTGGAGAGGCAGCAGAGGCAATTGACTGCCATATTCTTTGTGTATGGACACAAAAGAACTCACCATCAGAACTCATTAAGGTAGAATATTAGAGATATTATTTCTATATAATGACTTCTCAGTCATCAGTACCCAAAATATCTGTGCCACACTTTGAATCCAGACACAATTTTAGTTAACACATGTGAGTGCAACTCCTTTGCTTGCCTCTTCTTGGTGCCTGCCTCTTCTTCCAGGCAGCACTGCTTCTGTGCAGGGCACTGGGGTGTCTGTCCTGCTGCTCCTGGTGCTCCACAGCCTGTGAGCACTTCTTAGCTTGCATCAAAGAAAGAGGTACCTCAGGAGTGTGGTTCATCCCACTCCTTTTTGGGCAGGTGGAGGCAATTAATCACTACTTCCTTCCATATGTCAATAGAAAGATGTACTGTGGTACATACGGTTTAGACAACCCATAATGGATTATTCTGTGTCTGACTGGGCTTTAGAGCACTGGCTCAGTGTTTGTTGTGCTAGAATTGGTGTGGATCCTATGGTATAAAATACCAGTGTCTTTGTGCCATACTCCATCATAGTGCCTTTGGATCTGGGGAGGCAATGTCAGCTCTGCAAATAGGTCAGCACAAAGACAGCTGGAGTGGCTTAGCCAATATATTAAATCTATATTTGCATGGCTAGTAACTGTGTGAATAGCATCTAGCTTTCCTAAAAAATAGCTTTTTCCTAAGGATATACAAGAAATCTGTGGTAAAGCATAGATGCAAAGTGGTTTCATAGCCATCCTTCTGAACTTTTGACCCCATGAATCTGCCAGAGTGGCCATGTTGTTTGCTACAGTCCTAATTCCAAATGTAGAAAGACTGAAGGAACACTTCCATGTTTATTTTTTCCTTTTATCAGTAATATGTTGACTAAAGAAGATGAAGCTGAAGTATTTATTGAGGTGGTATAATTGCTGTAATTTTTTAAATTATCAAGAGCATCCTGATAGAAGTTCTTTTTGTGAATCAAAATAAATGATTAAATATAGAATGCAATGATATGGTATTTCTTTCCAGAACTGTTGATAGTCCTGATGAAGCTAAATTGTATTGTCATATTTAAAATATACCCCACAGAATAATCTGTAATCTTTTCTTTAAACTGTGGATAAATGTTAAAGTACAGTCTAATTTCCTGCTATTAAATAAAAAAAAATATAGCCCTTTCCCGTTTCCTTTTTTTGCATTATGCAGATCACAATAAAATTGCATCTCTCACTTCAGAATTATGATGTTTTTAATAAACTCTCTAAATATTTGAATAGATTCAAGGCAGTTTCTTTTTACATGCTATTCCAGACCAAGGCAGATTCAAAAACCAAGCTGAAGAACTGTTATGACAGCACAAGTTGTCTACTAAATATTCTGTGGCATCTTCCAATGTTCCTCATAAACTAAAAAGACATAGAATTTTTCCTGCACTGTAGGAAACAGAAAATTAATACTTTCATAAATGACTTAGAAAAAGCCATGGGTACTGTAGAGATTCTGAGGATGCTTCTCTGTTGGAGTAGAGTTTTGTCCATGATTCAATAGAAGCAAAGTCCTAGCATGGGACTGTCTGCTTCGAAACCCACCCAAAAGTTGGACCCTACTATACATGGATGCTGCTGGAAATGGACCAGCTCTTTTGCCAGGGCCTGGGGAAATACAACTAATGAAGGTACCAGTTGTGTTTGCTGCTGGCTGCAGAGGCAACTGCCTGTCCATGCTTGGCCCAGTGTTCTTCACACAGCCTGTGCTTGGTATGCTCCAGGCTGCTCAGCAGATCATGGCAGTAAGACAGGACAGATGATTTTCTTCCAAAAGCTCCATGTCAGTGAGGAAAAAGGATGCCATAATAAATGTAATTTGGTGCAACTCATCAGGATAGCTTCAGGTACTCACACATGCATCTGACAGTAGGATGAAAACAAATAGAACATATTTCTGATGAAATAAATACTGCACATGATAATTTTGGAAGGGAGAGGCAGTCAGCTGGTTTTGGACTAGAGTCAATTATTTACATGTTTGCAATGCTGGTACTTCTGGACATTAAAAGGAAGTTCTGCTTTGGTTCAGCTTATGCTTGAGCCACTCATTCATTGCAGGATTTCTTGTACTTTCATCTGAAGCACATGATCTGTATCATCCAAAACAAATACTTGACAGCTCCTGAGGAAGCTCTGCTTGCCTCCTGCAGACATGAAAGATGCCAAGTGTGTTAAAATATTCAAAGAATTTAGCTATCAAACTCTGTCAAGTTTCTGCTTGAATATGTGTGAGCAGAGCTTTGGAGCAAGCCAAGTGCTGGCAACATCAGCCCAGAGGGGTGCCAGGCTTGCACATGGACCCTCCTGCTCCCCATCTCCCTACCTTCGTCTGCTCTCCCTAGTCCAGTGCTGGATTTCAAAGCACACATGCAGCAGCTTGTCTCAGGGAAGTGTTGTGAAAGAAAAAGAGGAGATTGCCATTAACCTTGTGAGGGTTTTCTTTAATCTCTTTTCAGAAACATCTAGTATTCAGTGGAAATTTTCTAAAAGAGTTCTACTCAGTGAACTGATCCAAAATTTAAATTTTGGGTAGAATGATTAAAGAGCATCAAAAGTCAGTGGAATGGCAGGCAAGATGGTTTTAGGGGGAAAATCCTACACCTTCTTTTATAGATGGTGCCAAGTCAGACTATGAACTGGAAATCTTTTTCATCCTTAAGCTACTATTGTTTTCAACATTCAAAGAAAGCACCCAAAAGATTACCTATATTACAAAACATTTATTCTACTTTTGAAAATTCAAACAGAATTTAAAAGTGTCAATTATTTGGAATTGCTGTGCATCTTCTCTTGTGAACGATCCTTTTGGTAAATACAGTACTAGTTCACTTACTTAATCTACCACGTGTGCTGTTCTGTTTAATTGCATTCAAATTCTGCAAGAGATACAATTCACACAGTAAGTGAATTAAGAGCAGAATGCTGATGTTGAAATAAATACAATTTGAAAGCACACATTTTGTTATTTCAAATGTATAATGAAGTGTGCACCATTCATAGGTAAGTCTTTGTTTTCCTGTTCTACTTAGTAAGTCATTGTAAAACTTAAGGCCATGCAAAGATGCTTCCACAAATCCATTAAAATTCCTTCCAGAATAACACAAAAAGAGTGCAGAAATTTTTATGTTGATGCTTTTAACAGAGCAGGGAAACAGAACAAGTGAGTAAATGATCAAATTAAAAAATTAGTATTTTGAAAAGCTGCAGAAAAGACCACATATATGTGACTGCAAAAGCATAGCCCAGCCTCAAAGCATCAGGAGGGGAGCATAAGCGAGCCCCTTCTGGCCAGTGGTGCCCATGTGTCCTGGGAGCTCCAGGTGACATGCTGTCAGGCCCTGAAGCCTAAACTCCAGGAATAAAGGTAGCTAGGCTACATCACTTCCAAACTTTTAGCCCAGCTCCACATCAACCCAAAAGGAATTTAAGGTGCAACATAAACGTGTTTAAATGAAGTTAGAAGAAAGCTTGTTGTCCTGTCTCCTGTTTTCATTGAATATGTTTTATATGAAAAGCATAGCTTACAAATGCAAGCTATGAGGTTTCTCTGGCAGCATTGCAGCTCTGAGTAAACACACTGTAGTATTATTTTATTTGCTTTCTTCACTAATTAAGTTTTTTAAGTTTCCTTGGCTCTCTGTGTGGCTGCTTCAGTTTTGGCGTTAGAGCCAAAGAGGACTGGGAAGAAAACTGTGCTTTCTCTTTCTCCCTGGCTCCACAAAGTAATCACAGGTCAATTTGAAATCCCTTCTTGCTTTTTTAAGGTATATAGATAGCAGACTACATGTCACAAATAAAGCATGAGCCCT